TTTTTATTTGCTTTGGAATGTACACACATTTTAACCATATGATAACGCTCTGAAAGTTTCATTAAGATTGTATGTCTACAAAAGAAATTATTCAACAAATAAATTSTYATAAYATKGCMCAYAYTGCAGCGCAGCCCAAGCGCAGCCGCTGCTTACTGCGCAGTTAGCAGAGCGCAGGCTTATGCGTGCGTGTGGATGCATGTGTATGTATGTTTGCATAAAATAAGTGCAGAATGATTAGAATATCAGCTTAGGGGGCTCAGGTTATCTCCTGGTCGGGCAGTCTCGAATGGAGCTTTCTTACTTGTTATTAATGCCATACGAGCTTATTATCTATTAATTCCGCCCATTTGGGCGCGCCGGCAAACTTACGTTAGCTGTCGCAATTATACATATTTACAAATATTTAGAAGTATTTACAAATATTTACAACACAATACAATAGGAACATAATGATTGCAGCTGTACATCAACTTCTGTCAACCGATCGGAGAATCAGGTCCCTTGGTTGTCTTCTCTAGGAGTTCGGTATGTAATGAGCAAGTTTGCTAGCCTGTTTCTGTGCCGCTCCAATCTGTCATTGTACCAACTCGAATCCTGGTTTATTGCATCAAAGAGAGTGGCGAGTTTCAGGTCTCTCTGCAGTATGGTATTTCTAAGAAACCAATCGCAGCCGGTAACCAATCTTATAATTTTATCACAAGCCGGCCCCCATATCTCCATGTAATCGCCGCTACGTGCTTTGAGAAGGTGAGTCGGCGATCCAGTATCACTCCGAGATATTTGGCATAATTCGCCTGCGGCACTAGATTTCCCCCCAAGAGCATGGCTGGCGGCGTTCTCCTCATCAGCGTATAACAAACATTGGCCAATTTGCTGCTGTTAATGGCTATGTTCCATCGCCTTGCCAAGTCCGCCAATTTTGTTGCATAATCTTGGATGCCGTTCGCTGCATCGTACTCACATCGGGACCTGTATGTGATGCATACGTCATCTGCGAAGGTGGCAAGCATTGAGGAAACATACAGGCTATCTGCGGCATATCTATGTTATTAATGTGTAAGGCAGATTTGATTTCGCTGATATGCTCTCATTGATGTGAATAATTAGTTAAAGCATTAGCCGGTTTTTATCACAACACAACACAAAGTCAAACAGGACGGGGCCATGCGAAATTGGGTCAACATATAGGCGAAGCGTCAAGTGGATCAACACAGCGGCGCAACAGACTCTAAGTAAATAATATGTATAGTACCGCTGCCATTAGTAGGAAACCCAACTGAACTCAACTCGAGGCATGTGAAACTAACTCTTAGCGGCTGCAGTAAAGGAATACTCAACAGCCGAATGGGTGTTTGGGATGCTGGTTTAAGCGGACTGCCAGCCAAATCCAAATGCATAAAGCTAGTAGTTGCTACAGAGGGACACGGAGGCGAAGCACCGAAAACCAGCGCCAGAGGTAAGGATGTGCCGAAAGTTACAACAAACGAAACAGCTACAAAAAAAAGCTGGATGCTGAGTTAGCCTATTCGAGTTGGCATTTGACTTCAGTAAAAAGCACTCCAAAAGTGGCAAAAAAAAAAAATAGGACCTCGACGGGCAAACACCAGAGAGGAAAATGCGTTCGAACAAGCACCTATTTCAAACACACACACACACACACTTGCAAAAAGGCTGCGCCGAAAAGTTCGCAAATTACATATATTCAAGTGACGTGAGTGACGGCCTGGCAGTTTACAATCACAACTAATGCTGGTATTTAGGGAAGATGGGTGGTTAGAGCAGTGCAGTTGCCACCGTTGGTCAAACATATCTAATTATAGCATAGTTAGCCAAAGCTGGTTTTAACACAGCATGGCATATCAAGTTTACAAGCAACAAGACAGACTCAAGTTGAAAAGCATTTGCACGACTCATGACCATTCAAGTTACTCAAAAGACACACGAGAGAGATTATTAGACAGTCAAAATATACATATTTCGAAAAGCACAAGATTCATTGATTGAATGGATCGCTAAACTTTTGCGAGTTTCTGGGACTTGGTGAACAATTGAACTGGTGCCGGAAAGACAACGACCTTGCCGCGGTTCTTCTGTATTAAAACCTCATAGTGATAGCCACCCATGAGTAGTGAATGAGCTTCCTGGTGCTTGTACTTCTCGGCAATGGGCAATAAGCTAACTCTTGTGCAGTTTATGTAAATAACTGGTACGGAAAGAATCAGGGCCATCTCGTAGGCAGTTGCCGATTTCGGGCACCAGATGGAGGCGCTGTCAAATGGCAGCTTCTCCTTGGCAGCCAACTCGCTCAGCTCTTGCGTGTGGCGGAATGTATGCAGGGTAACCACAGTGCTGGGATGATTGACGCTGAAGTAGCTTTGATTGAAGTCGCATACGACAATTGGCGAACCCTCCACCATGCTGTATTTGAAGCCAATGTCATCAGGCTTCATCATGGCAATCAGCTCGGCGCCCAAGCACTCAGCACGAAGCAGCGCCTTGGCATAAAAATCATGGCCCTTCACCTGACGATGCATCACAGTCATCCGATTACGCACCTTCTCGATCAGCTCTTCCCGCATCGTCTCGTGCACAAATACAGCCCCAATAAGCTTCCTGCCAATAGGCTCGTACAACGTTTGCAAAAGTGGAGCAATTGCTTCATCGATATTCCCATCCTGACACAAGACGATCATGCTTGGCTCTACCCATTGGGAGTCGCTTTGATCCCCCGGATATGGTGGCTGGCGCCAAGAATAAGCTTGCCCAGCCATAAGAAAGTCCTATTTTCAGTGATAAAACCGCAAAGGAATAGAATAGCGTACAACTTTCAACAGATTTTGATCTTCTATTGAGTTTCACTGGGATAAAAATAAAGTATATTTAATTTGAAAGCTAAATGAAGTATTAAGCATAACCTGATTGATAGCATTCAATCGCTCTATAAAAGCCAACTTAATTGAAAAGATATATAAATCCACAGACGAATTGGTTACACGAACATGTGTTCGTCAAATATACGAATGTGGATAGGAGTGTTCGTACGAATATTTTGTTCGCCGTTTGCGTTCGCATAAAAATAAAAATGTTTCTTACGGGTATCTTACGGGTATTCGTACGAACGTGTTCGACAATGGATTCCAGTGTTCGCACGAACATCATTTCTAGGAATATTTCGGACGTCAACATAGGCCAAAATGAACCGAAAATTTCTTGATTGTTTTCAAAATGAGCCGGTTTGTGGCAAAATAAAAGCGAAAACTATCAAAATAAAAAGTTGCGCAACAAATCATGGGACGAATTATAATTAAAATATAAAGTTATAGTCAAAGCAAAAGTAAATTGTCTGAACGCTTCATACAGGCGGGAACTGGAACAAAATAAAAAGAGGCGCAAAGTCAGGTGCTTTCTTTTGTTTTAAATAAACATTCATTGCAATTAAGCTCGATTTTGTTTACTTCCGCTGGCATGTTCACAGTCCAAAATTTGTTTTAAAATGATGTTCGCGAACATGTTCGTGTAACAAATTCGTCTGTGGATAGCAAGGGGTGAAATCCATATACTATGTAGTCACGTACAGCTATTAATAAATATTTATGTATTTACTATTTTCAAATAATAGATCAAATATAAAAGCATCTAAAAGCCTCGAACGCATTTATGCGTAATACATATCTTAGATATGCACAAATGAAACTTGGCAATCATGCCCATAACCCTATTGCGTTCTACATCAAAGCTTTGTGCTATGAATGAGTATATGAGGGCTGCTTGACTGGCTGGTAATCTGGTTGGGCTAATCCATCACTACCACTTGATAGTTTTGAACGAATACACTTTACTATGATGTTGTTTATGTAAATATATTTATTTATTTACATTTTTTTTACATTTTTACAAATATTTTATATCTTTCTGTTTAAATTAGGTTATAATGCTGCCATATTTTAAAAACTTGTTTATTTTATGTAAGTTTTCGGGATAGGGATTAGTAAGGAGCCACATGGGACAGTTGTCATGGAAGATTTCGGTTTTAAGGTCTGATGTGGCGGGACAATTGATGAGTATATGTTGGATGGTGGGATCTGTGGTGGTGTTGCAGTTAGGGCATGATAGGGTGTTGCCGGTGTTGAAGTGTGCTTGTTTTGAGAATATTGTGTGTCCTAGTCGAAGTCTAAGTATTTTAGTTTGATCCCAACGTGTAATAATTATATTCATTCACGAAAGTGAATTAGTATATTGGTTTTGTGCAATGTCCGTCCGTCCGTATGAACGCAATCTTTTTCGGCGCTATTGAAAGTAGAGACTTGAAATTTGGAACACATACTCGTGTATATCTCTGATTTATAAAGTGTTAAAATTTTAGGGGCGTGGCAAATAGGAAAATGCATTTTCCGATATGCCCGAAGTCATATTAATTGAAGATCTAGAAAGCTGAAATTTAGTATGTAGGTAGGTCCGCGTCGACTACCCAAGATCACGAGCTATGGCGGAGTTATCTTTGCCCATTGGAGGCGTGGCAAATCGCATAAAACTGTATCTCCTAAAGTTGTAAGCCTAGAATGCTGAAATTTTGCACGTAAGCTGATGTTTCGATGCTATAAAGATTGGTATATATAATATACATCTACACCTAATAGGGGCGTGGCAAATCGGACCTGGAGCTATAGTGATTTTTCGAATGCTGCTCTATTTTAGGCCCTATTGATGCTAGAGACCTGAAATATGGTTGACCACCCAAGTCCAACGAGTAATGGTAGATATATGTCCGCCCAAAGGGAGCGTGGCAGAAGTAAAGTATAATAGCTAGAAGCTTCAAATT